GCCCGAGCGCGGCCCCTGCGAGGCGGCTCCGTGTGGGGCGCCCGGGACAGCCCCGGCCGGGGCGGGCGCGGAAACCACTGACTCCCGTGAAATAATAAACCACGCGCTTCCCGTTTCGGTATTATTAAAAGAAATTTAATATTTTTTAAATTAAAAAAGTTCATTCTCTCTATTAAAGACACTGAAGTCAGGTGCTAATACTGTCGGACATACCCTTTTGGCATGAGATTTACACGCGCTTTTAGGATTTTACACATTGCTTCGACACGTTAAGAAACCATCTTTTCATACTTAGAATAGCAATAAAGTCGGTCCCATACAATATCAAATATCCTCTTTAAAAAAAAAAAGAATTAAATATATTAGACTCTGATTGCCAAAATGCCATTTTATACACAAAGCTGCTAATACAATATACAGTTCTTACATTATTTTTTTTCACATAAAATAACATCTCATCACGTTTTATTTGTACATCACTTACTACCGATCGCTGGAGATAGGAGTTATTGCAGAGGGCTTGCCACGGCTTCCAGGCACCCTGCAGCAGCCCCGCGCAGCCGTACGAGGGCTACGGCCACGGTCGGGCCCTCTCCCGGCTCCCGCTGGGGAACACGCACCGAGATCCACAGGCTGAGGAGCGAGAAGGGGCTCTACCGAGGCTGCCTTTTTCCCTAAACCTCTGTTTTCCCCCCCAGCTGCAGGTAGAGGTGGTTGTAGTGGGGTAGGCTTGGGAACCTGGCGTCTGGAGCTCTGCCTCCTCCATCACACTTGGAATGCAGCAAAATATTCCAAGCTTTAATTTTGCCACGGCAGATGTTGCCAACAGATCCCAGTCTTGCTCTAATCATGCGGGAGGCCTTAACGGGTCTATCTGCAGTTGGAGCAACATGTAAAGCTGGAGAACAGGCGGGAACTGCCATTGTACAGCCCCAGAGCCAGAAAAAAACCCAAATCTAGCCATTAACTGTGTTTGGTAGTAACAAGCCAGCTCTTGCTACTGCGAGTATCCTCTCGACCCTGCCTGCAGAGAACTGTTGTCACAAAGTTGGCTGATGTGATCTGTTAAATTCGGATGAAGTCATTTTTTAAATATTTGCTGTCTCTGCATCAGAGGAAGAAAGAAGTGATGATCAAGAGAGAAATGAAAGAGCAAGTAAAATTTGCAAAACACGGCATGCTGTGAACAGTTTTCCCTTTGCAAAATAGTATTACATTTCAGAACAGTATTGTATGGTCACCACAAACACTTTGGGGGACTAGTCATTGAGCCATTTTTAGCGAATATGATAAGGCACAGCTGTCTGCAGACAGAGGGGGACACCTCCCAGCAAACACACAGGAGCTCAGCCGCGAGGCTCACTACAAACCGGTCCCCTGGCTTCCTCCTGTTTCATGGTACTGCTGATTTGCTTCAGCTTCAGAAAGTGGCGGAAGCAGAAGTCAGTCTCCCAAGTGGAAAACGGGGAGATAAGCACTCTCATCTGCAACCCCTGCTCAGTATACTAGAGAGTTAGTATAGTCCTCCTGGGTATCTACTGGGTATTGCACTGATTTGTTATGGCTATTTCCCTGCGATGCTCCTCTGCTCCTTCCCTAGCAGGAGTTTCTCAACATCACGCCTACAAGATGGTGTGTAAGCAATCAGCAAGAGGCAGTTCTTCCCCAAAATGGGAAGGGTTTTCAGGTCCTGGAGCACCACAAAATGAGAGTAATTGGGATAAGACTGCCTCACTTGGTCCGTGAAAAACAGATGCGGGTCTGAAGCCAAAGAAATCTCAGCAACTGTACTGAGATTTCCATTCCTGGGACTTCCTTGCTGCAGGCTCAGCAAAGCAGAGACACTAGTCTGAGACACTGTTTTGCATCTGAATAAAGTCTTTCAACACGGAGAGTAAAACTGCTCTCATCAACGACTTGGTTTGCTAGAAACACCAAGACTTCAGCAAATAAGAAGATTTTTCAAGCAGAAGATTTGGTCCTGTGTGCACATCTGTCTAACAGGGAAAGCATCGCTCCACTTTGGGTGGTCTTTTGCAATCCTTGGAAATCTCACTTGGATGCAACTTCCAACCCACAGCCAGTGGTAGGCAATTAGTCATCTTTACCATGAAACACATCAAGGAATATTTATCAGTTACTTGTCTCCTTTCTGAGTAAGAATCATTTGCATTTGATCAGACACCACTATAGTGATAAAGCTGGAAGAGCTGCATTACTGCCAAGTTTACAGTTGCAATATAACAGTCAGTTACGGGGATTTTTATATCCTACAACCTGTAGCGTCTTTCTCCTCATCATAAATCAGTTGTTACTTTGCTCAAGATCACAGCTAGAATAATGAATGCCTGGAGTTTTACATATAAATAGAGTGAAAGACTGAAATGAAAGCTGTTGGTCTAAAACGGACTGGCTTCATGCAGCTTTAACATCTTAGCTACCTATAGGGAAAGCAAGCTTCAAACTAGCTCACAGGATTGCACTCAGCTGCCTGCTGCTCATTTGCTTGGAGGTGTGTACGACAATAAACTCAACAGCACAAAACTGCTCTGATCGGGAGCCCTAACTCCTCCCTCTGGGGAAGGGATGACTAAAGAGGCATCATCTGGCCCCGAATTTTGCACCAGTTACAACCCAGTGGACAACAGCACCAAAGGTTGTTACACTGATCCCTGAATTCCCACAAGAATTTTCTTTAAGGTAAGACCTGCTCTTAACAGCGCACAGAGACCACCTTAGATGCTGTAAAGTTTCCAGCTATGAAACCAATTTATCTCAACTAGAAAGCAACTTTTTAATCCCCTTGAGCTTCAGTAAAGCACAAGAAGTGTGTTCAAGTTTGATATTTAATGTATGAATTCTAGTAATGGAAGGACAGAGTAACAATTTGTGCACATCTGCAGGAACCAGCAGATCAGTCAGATGGGATAGAGGTTTGCTGCTACCTTTTTCCAATTTGTTCTTAAACTGATAAAAGAAGAGGACTGAATCCTCAGTGTTTGAAACAATAAATTGTCAACCCACTAATAACCTCGGATATCCCAACTACTTGGGATAACGTATCCCAAGTACCCACTTGGTAATGTATACTCATCTCTGCTGCCTGGAGCAGCAGTTTTAAAGAAGGAGAGGACCAGATCCCTGCATCACGATGCCCAGCTCCAGAGGCAGCCTCGATTTCACAGGGAGGCTGCAGCGTCAACCAAGCAGAGGACATTCCCCCATGGAGACCTGCCTGAAACACTTCCCAGGGGGATGGGTCTCAGCAGGATTGCAGACTGGTTCCCATCTCTCCTTACTTACACACTTGACTAGACCATTAGAAGTGAACAGTGTTTCTACCTGGTGGGGAGTGGGGGTGGCACTTAACAGTTCCTTTTAGCCTAAATATATTAAGGAAAAAAAACAAAAAAACAAAAAAGAAGACATGAGGACTCCCTGACAGGGAACTTGTGCGTGAATTCTCTGCAAAGGAACATGTAATATTGATGTCCAGCTGCCAGCTGAAAGGAAAATGGGTGGAAGCGGCACTGCTACAGCAGACAGATTGCTGTAAGCAGGATTTGGCTTACACAGACACAAAGCAAACATGTTTCCAGAGCTTGGGATTTAAACTGCCCGAGGAGACACATATTCCTGCAGGCAAATGGTTCGGAGTGCGGTAGCTTCTCTGTGCAGAGAAGGGCGAGAAAAACAGCACAGGTTTCTGCAGGTACAACTGGTTATCTCAACTGTGGCCAGTTCCTTGGAGCTGTCTCCAGAGGGGAAATCTCCCTTTGCCTCCCTCTTCTGTGCAAAGACTGAACTAGAAGGGCCGGTGCGCAGACCGCAGGCGAGCCCACGCTCACGTCTGCAGGGTACCAAGCCACGTGCAGGCAGCGGTGCTGGCGCTGACCCCCCTGCAGAGCCCTGCGACTGCAGCGTGGGGCCTGGCTCTCCCGCAGCAGGGAGCTGGACTCTTGCATACGCAATGTATAGAGGCCAGTAAACCCCGTCCTGGCAGCTACCGGCCACTGCCGAGGAATTCGGCACGGAAGCTGGAAAAACAACAACAAAAACCCAATCTTTGCCCTGCTGCCAGAGCAACAACTTAAGTTACCTGTTTATCAGCCAAAGAACGCGGGTTAACACAAGAGTCACAAAATCTAGGATGATTAGAAACACTTCCATGGCAATTCTGGATTAGTGTAGCAAGCCCTTTCTCCTTATCCCTCCCAAGGCAGAAAATCAGGACACAAAGCAGACTGCTCCAGGTGCCTGTGCCGAGCATACAGAGTAAACAAACAGAATCAATAGGAAAGTGAGATCAGCAAAAGTCTGTCCAGTTTTAACAAATTAAGAGTTTAAATAGTACAAATACGTTTTTTTAAATTACTTATCCCAATATAGACCTTTGTCAGTATTTTATTGCAGTAAAATTCTATTGCCAGGGCCCCTTATTGCAACACCAGTTTTAAAGCCTGTTCAGCAGCGCCTGTTCCATGAAGGGTTCTGCTGAGGACCCGAGGACAGTCGGCAGCGACCGCTCTATTTTAGCAGAACAGGCCCCAGGCCGGTTTTTGAAGGTGAGCTGTCACTGCGAGGAAACACCACCTTGCAAATGTCCTAAGGCAAGCGCAGTGTCTACACTCTCCTTTGGCTGAGCCCCTGGTACGTTTTGCATCCAGCTGCACAGAAACAGCTCAGTCCGTTCTTGCAGACCCTGCGTGGGGGCTGAGCTGCCTTCCAGGGCCATCTGCATTGCACCCAAGAGTGAATTCAGGTCTGAACTGGTACCTTGTCGTCTTACAGCAAGATGCTCAGCTGCAGGGATTTTAATTCAGGTCATTTTTTCTTTCTAAGCCATCTGAGGACTTTCCAGGATTGGGAAGTGGCGTGCCGTACCTCTTCCCCGGGGAGCAGCGCTCGGGTGGCTCTTCTGGCATTGGACTGAGGTGCATCCATGGCTCTCCTGTGAGCCCCGCTCCACCTGCAACCATCATTCATCTGCAATGGAAGTAATTGGTAGGGTAAAGTACGATTCAAAACGAACAAGGCTGCTACAGTCAGGATGTCTGTAACCAAATTCTCCCCTTGGAGTGCAAACAACCCGGCCTCTGCAATCGATCTGAGCAGCCTGCCCACATTGGCTTTCCTCAGGGGCGAGGAACAGGCGAGCCTAGGAAATTCTGCAGCACCCGTGCACCTTCTCTTCCATCTCCTCCATGGGAGCTTTGAATTTCAAGAGGGGCGGATCGCCGCTGGACACCGTGTAATACACGGAGGTGCCGTTGGTGCTGTAGGGAGAAGTCCTGGCTGCGATCAGGTGCGACTTGGCCTCGCTGCCGTTCTCGGCGACGCCTCCCGCGCCGCTGCCGAAGTGGGTGCTGAGGAAGGGGTGGTTGAGGAGCTTGGCTGCCGCGCGCTGCCGCTTCAGTTCCGAGAGCGTTTGGTGGCCGTGCTCCTTGTAGGCGCCCCAGAGCTGCTGCGGGTCGGGCAGCCCCGGCGCGCCGTAGGGCAGCACGTGGCCCGGGTTGCTCTCGGGCTCAACCTGCATGTTCCAAACGTCCCCGTTGGAAAAGGCGTACGGGTAGGTGCTGGCAGATGCCCTGAGGCCGTTCTGGAGGGGGATTTCTACGTCGCACTGGGTGCTTTTGTTTGCTAGCTCTGGGAGCAGGGAAGAGTTCTCCAGCACTGAATTCTGTAATAAGAAAACATTAAAGAAAAGCATCTTCCCGCACGCCCCAGCACTGTGCAAAAACACTGAATTCACCTGTCGCCAGGACTATATAATGCAGCGAGTCCCAGCTAGGAATCTGGAAACTTTAACTCAGAACAAGTTGCTCAGGGGAGAAAAAAAATAAAAGCAAAGCAAACAAACAAAAACACCCCCTATCTATCTCTCTCTATATATGTGTCTCTCTGTGTATTAATATAAAAAGCTTGTTAATACAACATGACAATAACTGAATTAAAATCTAATAACTGCACAGCAAGATTACATCCTTTTGTCACTGCCAGTTTGTTAACTGTGAAGAGAAAGACACCCAACATAACAACCATTTTTTCCTGGCTTATTAAGGTCATATTAAAAAAAATGCTTATGCGGATGTAAGTTGAAAACAGTGTTTCCACTTCAGTGGGATATTCCAGTTTATACTAAATGAGAATTGTGTCTTTTTCTTAAATCGGATGGATGAAGCTTGAGGACGTTTCCCCTCTGCCCTGTCCCGTCCCACAGCCTGTCCCCTGCTTCCCAGCCCCGCTCTGTGACTCCCAGGGGACACAAGCGGTTCCTTACGGGGTCCGTATTCTCCTGGTCACACCGAGTCTCCCCGATTTCTCCAATGAGGCCCGAGTTTCTCTGCTCTTCGGCTGCCCCCATCTGCTGCCAGACGATGGCCTCTTTCTCGCACTCCTTCCTGTACAGGTTTGTTCGGTCCGAAAGGCTGGCCCTCCTCACCACCTTCCTGCCGGAGAAGGGAACGGAGCATCAAAGCTGTGAGCGCACACGGGCTTTCCTCATACCCCGAGGCTCTTCTCGCATCCTCCCTGCACTCCATAGCGTTTCCTATTGCAATGGGACAGGAATGCAGCTTCCTGCACCCACCCAAGCAGTCAAAGGCACTAACTTGTGCACCCAAGGTGGGAGGAATCTTGAAGAGCTTTACAAGACGCCCTGCCAGCCTGGCTCGGATCCGTGCAGCTCACCTCACGTATCCCTCACATATCCACTCTGAAACCAGCAGAGCAAACACAGAGAAGGGCCCTCGGGTTGTTTAGGGAGCTCTGCAGCTCCAGAGCTGCTGCTTTGATGTCCAGCAAACATCTTAATAACGACTGTCCTAACACAGCATCATGCCCACGAGCCTTATTCCCTGTTGCTGTTCATTCACCTTCCCCTGCACCTTCCTCATTAAAGCTCCAAGAAGCTCACGTTTGAAGCACTGCTTTGCGGACGCAGAATCCCTGGGTAGACTCTCACCACGTGGTGCTCTGTCCACAGCACTGCTTAAATCAGCGCAGAGCTGTTTTCACAGGAGAATCAAAACCCGCTGCTAGGAAAGGACCACAACCTCCAAGAGAGCTCCGCTTTCCATAGCTAGAAGCCCGTGTCTGCCTTTCAGGGGGTTCATGCCCAAAGGACAGACAGGATCATTCCCAGCGCTCTGAGCTGCTCTGCTGTCGTGTCGGGAGGGACAACCTGCCTGGAAACCCGCACGTACCCCCGGCTGCCGGTGCTGGAGGTCCTTCGGCTCAGGGAGGATTTATGCCTCAGCTGAGATTTCATGATCACATCGTGTTTATGTTTCAGCTCCAGAAGTAATACTTTGAACTCCTCTTCTTCACACAGATCTAAGGCACACACAAAGCAAGCTGTTGGTCAGGCTGTTCTAGTGTGGTACCATTGCTGCTGTGTAACCAGCGGTGCCTTCTTGGTCCATAGACCTCCAATGCATGGATAAACAGAAAGGGAATTTAAATAGAGTGGGTTTAGTCACGAGCAAGAGAAGCGCTTCCTGAAGTACCCAGAACAAATTAGGCACTTAAATTTTGACCTCCTTAAAGTCACTGCAACTTTGATTCTAAAGACATCTGAAAAATGAAGTTAAACACTTTTGAAAGCACCATTTGAAGACTCTAGCCAGCTTAGAGGGTGGGAAAAGATCTCTAAAAGTTTTGTTCTTGGTGTCTTTGATCTCTTCTATGAGCTTAGCAAACTCACCTATTGGCATCTCATCCAAAGATGTCCTGGCACTCAAGCTGGCCCCATGGGATACAAGCAACTCAGCCATTTGCATCTGTAGAAAAGGTAACAAAGTTAATGTGGTCTTTTTGGCAGCTGTTTTCTGCCTCAAAGCTGAGAAGTTAGAATAAGCTAAGAAGCACTTGTATGCATGATCAAACTGGTCTAAAATTATTCTGGTACATGTGTGATGTCAAACACAGCTCCTACCATTCAGCTGCACACACGTGCTCTCCCTGAGCTTTCTTGGCACAGGTTCTTTCTGCTATCAGAAAGATCTCATCTAACATCACCTAGTGAGTCCAGCTTGCACAGATTTCTTCCATTTGTAGAGAAGTCCACAATTCACCCAGGCAGAAAGCCCTTTACACCATTCTCACATGAGACTTGCCAAAAAAAAAAATATTACCTGGCCCCAAAAAGCAGCAGCATGGAGAGGTTCCCAGCCATCCCAGTCCTTCACATCCAGGCTCGCCCCCTGGTCAAGAAGGACTTCGGCTGCATGCAGATAACCATTGGCTGCAGCTATATGGAGCTAGGAGACAAGGAACAGAGCATGAATCCCTCCTGAGGACCAGGCTACTTCTTTTCTTCCCCACATTGAGTTTCAGTGGAATTTCTTGGATAATGCCTGAGTTTAGATTTGGACTCATGGCACATTTTATGTCTGGCAGATGCATTTTCATCAAGTCAAAGACAGGTTGCTCCTGTATCCTGAATGTCAGTATTAGCCTGTAATTCTATTTGCAGATGAAAATGCTAAACTGTTCCTAAAATCCCCTATGTATGTGTGTTAGAAGAAGAAAGGCTTCAATTAAGGCCTTTTAAGCACTTTCCAATCTGTAAGCAACCAGTAGTATCAAAATGAAAGCCTGGAATGGAGACTAACATCCCTGTAAGCTCTGCATTCTTCATGACAGAAGATCACCTCCTCTTCCTGCACTAAGTGGCGATTTTTTTGCACAAATTTTCAGCTGCTTTAGCAAGGGCACTCCCATTCATGCTGTGGTTGCTTCCACCATTAAAAAACACGGAGCCATCTAAATCCTCATCTACTTGTAGTTAAGGGGAGCTGATTTCTCAGATATGGGCCTCCAACTGCATCCATCACTTTGAAACAGCAGTAATAGTCTCCTATACTCCACCAAGACACTTCATATCTCTGGAGGTTCTCGTAATACTTGTCTGAAGCTACATTTATGAGCAAAACATTGATCTATGAGCTATTCTGGAAGTATGAACACTTCTCACAGCCATCCCATTTCAGCTGTGCTGAAGTGGAGAATAAAAATTTCTTTATTCACATTTCCACATGGATCACACCCCAAACAATTCAGCAAATGCTGGTAACGAATGCTGATGCTTGCTGGTAATTCAAATATCTTCTATCTAGACTTTATTATTGCAGGTAATATCTTTGCGAGGTTGTAGAAATTAATAAGGAACCAACTTTCAGTAATAATTTGAAAAGCAAAGTTTGATTCTGATGCCAAGAGTTCTGCAGGGCTGGAAGGCAGTGTCACAGCTAGAATATCTAGAGGCAAGGCAGGGGTCATACAAAAAGGGAAGTCAAGAGGTGTGCTTAAAATTACATATATAATCCCTGCTAAAGGGAGAAACAAGTGAAAAAATAAGATGGAGTAAAGACTTCTGTCATCCAAGTCTATCTGAGGGGATGGGAGTGCCCGGGCAGGGCAGATGCCCAGTGCCTGGTGCTGCACGTTGGGGCTAGGTGCTCCTCTCTGCCCAAGGGTGAGTGCCATCCTGTGGGAACAAATGTGCCGCTTCCTCCTCCCCAGCTAGGCACGAGGCAAAGCAGAAAGGCGAGACGAGAGGAAGTCTCCAGAGGGCCCTGCGCCCAATCCTGCTCCCATTAACATTAGAGGAATCCCCCGAGCTGCCATGGAGGTCAAGGCAGACAACAGCATCAGCCAGAAGTGAAACATTCCTGGGAGGCCTTTCAGCCCCTGAGCTTGGCACGAGACCACGTTCAGCACCGCCTCAGCGCAGGATTTCTTGCACCTTATAGAGAAGCTGCTATCAACTGCTGTCACACACGACCCAGGAGCCCGGCAGCCTTCAAGCTACTGGATGAGAGAGTTGCATGAACAAGGGACTCTCTTCAAAAAGTGCAAGTTAGATCCTTGCTTAAGCCAGCTGTACTGGTGAACAGAGCTTGCTCCTGTGTGGCAATAATCAGGGGAAAGGAGTGACCTGTTTCCTCTCCCTGAACTGGCACCTTGTGGTTTTCTCTGACCTCCTGCTACAGGGCAGGTTTCATAATGTGGAGGAGATCAAAGGCGGAACCGCAGCAGTTTCACTCACCAGCGTAGCACCTTGGGCATCAGTCCTGTTCAGGTCCTGTCCAGTCGCCAGTATGTCATGGATGTCACAGATCATGACCTGCTCCGGGGCGGCCCGCATCTCGTTGATTTTTTCCTGTGTAATTCCTGTTAAAATTCCAGTCAGAAAGAAGAGTAGGAAATCGTTTCTGTCTCCATTGACTGAGGAAAGTTCCATTCAATTCCTGGTTGATGTGACTCTCCACCCTTCTCAGAGAGAGTGGCATGGCTAAGGGGACTGAGAGCCGTCCTTCAGCCCTCATCACAGAGACACTAGACAGAGGTAGGTTGCAAGAAACTGTGCCAAGCAGTGTCTCTCTGCTTTTCTCCAGGGGGAAATGAAGGCAATTTTCAGGACCACACTGTCCCACTTACATAGCTTACATGCAGTCGGCCTCCTTACCTTGATAGGCCATGCAAGTCTCAATGACATCCAGGGTTGGCTCATCTTCACAGAGGTCGTACGGCATGTTGCCATCTGCATTTACTGCCAATAAGTCTGCGCCACTGCAAGAAGAAAATGGCACTGATATACAAACGAAAGACCCCGCACATCACAGAGCAGACAAACGAATCATTGGGGCAGCAAAAACAAACTGAGGCCTTCAGCTGCCCAAATACCACCAAGATTTGTGTGAGATGAGGTAAATTTGAAGAAAAGGCAAGAGGAAAGAGGAAGAGGAAAGATAAATTCCAGGAGTAGATGCAATCTGCCTCCTGCATGGGATGCAGGGAACCCACCATAACTGAACATGAGACACGAAGCCTTCCCTGCTCCCCCCTAATCCTACCTCTCCTCCCAGTGCTGGACAGACCAGTGGCTTTTCAGTGCTAGGGGGGATTTATTCACCCGGTTTGTGGAAAACAGCACCAACCAGCTCCCGGGTGCCTGCTATCAGGGGAGCTGGCCGTCCTGCAATGAAAAGTTTGCAAGCGCCAGAAGAGTTTGGAAGCCTTCAATCTAGCCAAGGGCGCACTGACAAAAATAATAATTAAAAAAAATTCTGGCAACTATTTTTTTTTAAGCTCTAATTGTTCAAAAGCATTTTTTTTTTTTTAGTTTGTATCAACTCCAAGAGGCCACACTTTGGAAGCAGAATAGCCAGCTAAATCGATCCTCTATTCCCACAGCGCAGTAGCAAATTTGCGGCACCTCTCGGCTGTGCCTTTTTAGCAGGTACTAAAGGTGCCCCCCCTGAACTGAGCTCTGATCTGCCCCAAAATCGAGCAGCTTTTGAAGGACAGCAGGCAGGATTCAGCTGCATGGAGACTGAGCAGAAAAAAACTACATCAAAATTCACATTTGCAAAGTACTGAAGTTTAACAAGCAAATAAAACACCAAGGAATTGGCCATCTCTTGTGGGCTGCTGCTCCACACTGTGCTGTACACTACAGAAAGGGAATAATGCCCCCGTCCTGTTTCTGAGCACGGGATCATGACATTAGGTTACTAGAGTCTGATTTAGCTGGCAACTAGGCAATACAGGGCAGCCTATGGTATCCAGAGGCCCAAACACGAGCTGCAGTTCCCTAGCCTGCCACCCATGCGCAAGATGCTCCCTTATCCTCAATTTCAGTCAGAAATACACTATATTTGCTCCATATTTTGTTCCATTTTTCTGCCCTCATCTAAAAGCTTCCTATCCCAAGGGATTATCGTTTGCATCTCTGCCTCACTTCCTTCATTAAAAGGCCAAGAAGAAAGGGCCAAAATTTCAGTGCCTGCCTCCAGATGACAGCATGCCAAGGACAAGGGGCATCCCGGGACACAAGCATGTTCATAGCCCCAGATTACACGGGCACTCAGCAAGCAGAGGAGGAGGCTCCATACAGAGCCAAGACTGTCTGCTCCAGACAGGCTTCACAGCAGGTTCCCACTAAACGCTGCTCATAGAATACCTCAAAACACACCTACCTTTCACCTCACCAGCAAGTCTGGGACAGAGTTAAGCTTTAAGGCCTTTGCAAAGGCAAGAGGGAGGTCCAGCAGGAGCAGCCTGTCACAGCTGGGCAACAAACACATTACGGTGAGCTAACTGGTTACTAATTAACACCCACTAAGGCAGGCCACAAAGTTCATCCTAATGTTGGAGCTATATGAACAGCCCGTCCTCCTGCATCAGTGACTCTTTGTGGCTGGGAGACTTAAAGGGATGTATAAAAGCTTCCTGCTGCAGCATCTTACAGACTGCTCCAGCTACCCTTACTGCGAGCAGGGCTCAACAAGCACAAGCACAAGTAAAAACCTGCATGGCCAGAAACAGGGAATGGCCACAACTGCTCCAGTCTTGCAGGGCACCGAGCAGTCTCAGATTCCACCAGCACCAGCAGAAACTACGGCTAGAACCAGACTTGCAGGAGGGAATAGACACAAAAAGCCACCTACTGCTGGATGAGGATCTTCACCAGGTTGATATGACCACACGTGGCTGCTGCATGCAGCGGAGTCCACAGCTCGTTATCCTTGGCGTTGACATTGGCCCCATGGTTGAGGAGAAGTTTTACTATCTCTTCATAGTTGTCTATGCAGCACTGGCAAGCAAGAGATGCAGACAGGTTAGGAAAGATCAGGGTTCGCACCCTCTTGGTATTGCCAGGGTACCTGGAGACGAGGGGACCTATTTCTTCACACAGCGTTTGGCAACCAGCATCTCCAATGGGTCATGCACCAAGTTCAGCACACACAGGGCAGGGCCATCGTGCAGAACATCTGCGCTGGATTTACTGGTGGTTACTGGGTTTTACAGAGTCTTGTGTTCAGGGGGCAGAATTGGTGAGGAAGCAATAGGAGGAGAGGCAAAAAGCTTCTGTGTCAATGGGTCTTTCATCTTCAATAAATTCAACAGAACCAGTGTAACACCGTGCTAAGGGATGGGGCTGAAATTCCCTTTTCCTAGGGAACAGAATTAAAAAAAAAAAAAAAGGTCTTTTTGCCTAAGTGCCTCCTGGTGGTGGCACAGGATCCTGGATGCCCATAGAGCACCATTCCCAGGCAGCCAAGACTGCTCGCCTTTGGGGAAGTCCAAATTTGCTCCTGATTCCACCTCGCCCTTGCTTCCAAACACGAGTGTGGGTGTGATAAGGACACTAAAACACACTTCAGCCTTGTGTTGGAAGTCTGTTTCCCTGTCTACACCTCCTTCAAGACCTGAATTGGAGGCTGCAATAGCCCAGCATTGCAGTACAGGCTTTTAAGGGTGCTGAATTACCCGCAGAGCAAGGTGCAGGCAGGGTCCTGGTGGCAGGGAGCTCTCCTCCTCCCAGGAGCCTGCCTGCATTTTTAAGCAAACATCCACCCAGTTCTGAAGAGGGAAAGCGACCCCCAGAAGCCTCCGAAATCCCAAGTGAGTGAGAGCATTTACAGCAAGGGCTAACGAGGACAAACCCTGCGAGCCGCCCACAGAGCTGGCCCAACGGCCGCGGC